TTACAGACACGGATATATATGTACATCCGTTGTACGTATATCAGTGATGGCGTTGATCTTCATTGTTTTGTTGCCTGTATAAGAATTGTAGAGGGTATATACATATATACACACATATAAACTAAGGTAGCAAAGATAGAGACGATCGCTCGATGCTTATACCAGGTACCTATAGGTACACCGGCTGCAGTTGAGTTCAATGATCCGGTGTTTGTATGTTACATTTTGTTCATCCACATTAGTGTGACCATCATGGAAGTAATTTATAATTTTTTTTTTTCCCTTTTTTTTTTTTTTAGATCAGATAGAGATACATTTCGATTGGGCTGATTGTATTCTTTTTTTCTTCGTTAAAGAGGAACGTGGTTTTTCTTTCGGCTAATTTGATAGAGTTCAATTTTACGGTGCAGGGTATGTATGTGTGTATATTTGAGGTGTTTGAGTGCACTTTTAGCCCGATAGCCTAATTGTTCCTGAAAGATTGGATCCTCTTCTTAATTTGACCTAGTTACTCTCCTTTTATTCAATACTAAAATTACGAAGATTAAGGCTTTTTTTTTTTTTTTTCTTTTCGTTGTACAATGCATTTCTTAAACGATGTGCCTGTATTGATTATATCATCGACTGAGTCAATACAAGTGATGGATATTATTAACACATCTAAATGGCATATAGCCGACAGTCGTATAAGTATGTACTTTTCGTTCGAGATCTGATGGTACCCATATAGTTACCAGCTGCCGTATTGTCTCGTAAAAAAAGTGTACTTAGTAATGACTGAACATTTAAATAAAACAACAATCAGTATGGACATTGATTTCTGGCCCTTTTACTGCGTCTCAATCGTAACTTTCGTTATTTTTAAATGTACGCATGTCGTAGTCATTGTAAATTCAAGTTTGTTTAAAAAAAACGGGAAAATCATCCATTCGCATACTCATAGCTCAAGTCGAATCGTGTGTAATTTAGCCCTATGGAAAAACACAAGCAAGATAATTAAACAATTTTTGTGCAGTTTTGTTATTTTATGTGTGTACTTTGGTACCTAACAAAACACATTTTTTTTTTTTTTTGTAAGTATCAATTACTTATTGTTCAAAACTCTTTGGTCTCACAATATATATGTTAAAAAAATATTTTGTCAATGAAAAAAAAAAAAAAAAAAAACAAAAAACCCGTCAACGGTACAAAACCAAACCTCAACACGCTCAATACACGTGTCGCAGAGTAATTCAGAAAAGAGTCCTGTCGACAGCACTATAGCCCATTAAAAATGCACAACTCGTCGCGAGTTAATATTAGCCTGAATATACACGCCTGACGTTCGTATGTACAAAGTATAGATACATCGTTGGGCATAAATACCTTCGAATGAGACAAAAATATAGTTCCTCACACGCGCACGTTGTATAATGCAAATGATATGCTGCTAATGTAAACACGACTTCTTCTTCTCCCACTCGTTTTTATTTTACTTCCGAAAACCGGATCCTGAAATTTCTCTAGGCGATACTTCGCAATGCTATATTCGGGCACTAGAAGATCAGGAAAAAAAAAAAAAAAATTCCCAAAAAAAGCCAGCAGAGCTTGACCGAATCACGCGAATTCGCTCCTGTCCGGAGGTACATATACGCGGTACGGGCTCGGCTAAAAATGGCACTCTGACATTTGCAATGCAAAAACTACGGCTAAGAAGACCATAAAGAATTATCGAGCTTTGTATCGTTGTGCATCCGAATTCGGTGTCGTACATGTGTCTTTCCTACAAAGAGGTCAGTGGGTACGACTTGTAGGAGATGGTTTTCACGAAAAAACTAAATCGTCTCTGCTTCCGCGTTTTTTTTTTATTCGCACACATATACCATCAGTTTTTGGATTGTCGACGAGTTGTTTTTGCGTACCTACCTGGTTTTTGTACGTACGTACAGATGAGGTAGGTGGTCTTCTTTTTCGTCAGAATTCACTTTGCCTACCTCTGTATTTATTTTTCGCGTCAATGGAGACTGCGATTTTTAACAAATTTGATTCTTACTATTACACAGGCAAGACGTATGCGTATGCAACAAATTTTCAAAAATCAATAAAAAAAAGGGATTACATAACACTCGATTGATTATTCGATGGCTTTGCCAGTGCTCAAGAGCGAGTATGGGTGTCAACTTGGCCTGAGACTTGTTCTCGAGCAAAAAGCACTCGATCGAGCACGAAAGGATGCACCCATCCCAAAACGCATATAAATTTCGGACTGCCCGTACACACTTTGGCTTTTTGACCGGTAAACTGATTTAAACCATTTCACGGTTACCCGAGCGCATCGGCGGTCGTTACCGCTTTTCTTCAAGAGTCTCTCGAGCCGGCGGTGATTTTTTCATGAAGTATGAACCGTGACTGTACCATGGGTCAGTTGGCCCGAGAAAATCTTCCTTCTTTTATCAAAAGTTTTCGCTTTATATAAACATTACTTGAGCTTGCCATTTTAAAAAGTGTAATAATTATCCACCGATTTCCCATACCCTTAGTATACGATTTTCATACAGTTCGCCAGATTTTATCGCCTGCAACAAGTGATGCGAGAAATAAATACGCTGAAAGAAATTTTTCAGAATCAAGAAAATATTTACTTGAACAGTTCCAAGCACACGGTACCTTGCAATGAGATTATATCATCTTTACTTTAAGAAAACATTTATTTAAAACAAGAAGCTTGTTTTCGACGTAAATAATAAATAATATTATCTTATTATACTCGCTTGATAATGTTCTAGGAAATATTTCCTTGTTTCTCAGAAATTTTCATATCAGTGCATTATCCGTTTGAACTCGTCAAAAACAATTAAAAATTCAAAGGTAACCAATCCATTTACCTAGAGACAGTGTGTAAATTAATATTTTACTATCTAAATAAATTAGAGGATTTTTTTTATTAATAGTAATAAATGGTAATCAATGATAAATTTTGCAAAGATACTTTGCCATTTTCTCCTTATCGTATTCGATATATTCCGAAAAAATCTAAACCTAAAAATGTTAGCAAAACAAAGATTTGTATACGATTCTTGTTTCCGTGGCATATACATATTTATGGCCTACATTTGAATTCAGGAAGCGACACAGCGAGGACGATTCTTATCTCAAAAGAGTTCACTTTGAACTAACAAATAATACATCCACTATTCCGAATTTGTGCTCGACTTTGGCATGGTTCATTCAAAACTATTAGCATAAAATATCCCAAGGAGTTGGAGGGAGATTCCAGACGCGATTTTCGATAACATCGTCTCGAAACGCCACTGGGATCTTCACGATATTTTTCATTTACCAAAAGGAACAAAAAAAGCGTCATCCCTTGATTTCCAATTTGTTAAGATCACTGCGAACTTTTTGATATCATTATTTAACGTAAAAACATGGATGAAAATTTTGCGCTATCACACATATTTCACGTAGATGATTCCAGTAAGGGAATACCCATGCGTGTATGGGCACAGAAATTGAATAAGCTTTTTGGAAACGCTCCAATTTCTCTCTTAATTGTAGAAATAAATCTCGTATGGTTTCAAGTCGTTATATATCGACTTAGCAACAGTCATAAGTTAAACCGTCAGTGATTGTGTTTCGATGGAAATTCATTTGCATTTACAATTATTGAAAACTAATTATTTTTTTTTTGTTCAACGCTAAACTTATTGGTACTCTCGTATGAAATTGGATTGATATTTTTTACTGGTGAAATTGCCGTTTTTAGCGAAAAAAAAGATATTTTTTTAGTTATTCAATTGAAATTCTTTATCCTGACTGAAGGATTTTTCAAAAAATTCATCAACTTTACTGCGTGAACACACCCACATGCCGACGAAAGTTTTTTCACTCTACATAGTTAGCGAGTCTTAATGAATTCCGACAGGTATTGGAAAAACTTATACCTAGTTCTACTTACTCGATAACAATTCTACAAGTTAGCCCCTTGATATTTCCCTAAGGAAAATTCGAAGTGCATCAATAACGAGATCCTCACAGCTTATGTATATATACTTATATCCATGAAGTTTTACCAACAAAATTTGTTGGATGTTTACTTTGAAATTGTTTGTTCTTTCTTTTATTTGGTACTTTGCTAAACCCGATAAAAAAAATCTCAAGTCAAATTATTTACTTTTCTGCCTCACTCTTTTCCTTCGATTGGGCTAACTGACAACCGATTAGATTAGTTTTTGTGGCAATTTACTCATTCTTTAAAAAAAATTGGGAAACTAATACACATACCATAACTTACAGAAAAAATTTAATGGTTTTGAACAGAACATACAAATATGTATATAACAGCATATACATTTTAAAACAGGACAAACGCAATTTATACTCCTCAACTTAACTCTTTAAGTTTTCTTTTTTGTAACATAACAAATTCGCATAGCATAGTTAAACTTAATTCTAAATATCACTAAATTAAATTTTTTTTAACTTCCTTTACTCGTTCCTATTGTAACAATATAAAAGAAATATTAGTTGGTAAATCCTCGAGGTGAAGTACAAAAAAAATAATAAAATCCAAAAACGAGTAACATTCAGATAATGATTTTTTTTAAATCTATAAGTCACTTATCACTGTGCACATACTGTTTTTAAATCGTCATTGCTCAAGTTTACCAAAATAGACTCTATACAATGTAAAGGTAATCGCGAGTCTAAAAGATCATGTAGCAAAATCACCGCGGACTTGAATAAGTTTTCTCTTTTGAAACATTTCCGTATTTGCATCTTAAACACCGGCAGCCATTTCGAAAATTTATTGTGAACATAATCCGAGTTAACATACTTAATAATCTCTTGACGCTTGACCCGAGGTATCAAAGGAAATTTCATCACCATTCGTTCGGTCAGAACATCGCGCAGAGTGAATGATGTGGTAATCCTTTTCCTTGTCATTTTGAACAAGACTGAATTGTTTTTCTCCATTCTTTCGTCGGAAAAATATTTTCGACAACGTTCTTTGTTCATACAATTGAGGTATAAACCAGCATGGTATATTTTACAAACGTGCTCGTTTATTGCATCGAACGTGGAAAGATCGCAACAGCTCTGGTATGCTGTTTTTCCACTAAAATCATAGACATTTACATCTGCTCCGATTGAAAGGAATGCTCCGATACATTCCGAATTTTTTGAAAACACTGCCAAATGAAGAGGTGTTTTCCCTGTTGAAATAAATGAAATAATGATATTCCTTTTGTAGAATATGCTTGTCTTTCAATTTATCTAAAATTAATTATATTAGAACACCAAATTACTCACCACTATTGTCACGACCCTCAAGCTCACAACCGTTTTTTAAGAGCAATTCAAGGTTCTTAACGTATTCGTCAAAGCTTATAGTTAAAGCATTAGCAAACAAAACGAGATTGTGGAAAATGTTACGACTATCAGTATCTATATCGCTTATGTTTGGTATGTGCTCAATTAGCGATTGAAAATCTTGGCCGGAAAATCGTCGAATTAAATTTTTCACAAGCCTCATCTTTGTCGGCAGGTCTATATTGCTTGCCGAGTCATTTTTAAGTAGGCTTAAAAAGTTATTACTTTGAGCTTGCTTATTATCTTGCAGTAAATCCAATAGGGTTCGGCCAAAAGCATTTTTCATTCCAAAGTCAGCTTTACACGTTCTGGACAAAATAATCAAGATGAATAAGTGAAAAATTGTTAGTTTTACGACTAACATTGCACAAAGTCACTTCAGAAACTAGGTACCTCAGGAATATTTCAAGTCTATCCGGGGAACATTTGGCAGCTAGGTGTAGAGGAGAGTTTCCATGAGAGTCTTCTAAAGTAACGTCAGCACCGTGTTTCAGTAGTACTTGAATGACGTTTTCACTTCCATATTTAACAGCAAAATGTAACGGAGTGTAACCAGCATCAGAATCTACAATATAATTCCTGGGAGCGTTGACATTAACACCGTACTTTATGAACGTTTCAACAGCTTGGGAATTACTACTTGCACAACTGTAGTGAAAAGCAAATAGAACTGCTTTCGAGTTGATGGGCTGTTTATCGTTTTTCAACGTGCATTTTCTTCGACGTTTAGGCATTGCTGAATGGAATAGAAATATTTGTATTGTTTTTTCACGCTAATAAAGTGTTAGGGTTATTAAATTGTATTAAATTCAAACTTTGTAAGACAAAATAATACAAATTGATGAAAAAAGAGCTGAAATACCGTGTAACTCCTGATCTCTTGAATTTGAATCCTCCACGTTTTTGAGGATGTGAGAGACAAGTACTCGTAGAAAATCGTCTTTGTTTTCAGAAGCAAATTTATCCATTAAGATTTCCAAGGCAGTGTAGTCGGGGAATACTGGAGAATTAGAATCAATCCGGCTATTTAAATCGCCTCCATTGATGAGCAACTTTTTGGTCAAAGATATGTCTTGTAAGGCACAGGCAACGTGTAACGGAGTCATTCCTACTTTGTCTGGATTGTTGCTTTTGATAAATTTTTTCAACAATTGTCTCAATATCGTTGGTGAATCAAAACGAAAACGGATCAATGCAACATGTATCGGAGTAAAGCCATCTGCGTTTTTTACGATTTTTGCACCATTTTCCAAAAGCAACGTAACGTTTTCCATCATCCTACCTTTCACGGCCAAATGTAGTGGAGTGTCTCCTACGCTTATGGGATAAGTGAAAGTGGGAAGACATTTAACATACTTCAGTATCTCACGGCTTATTGGTTCGTTGATATTTTTCGTCAACGGCAACAAAGCTTTGACTGCTGCTTTGCTGCCCAAGAAACAAGCTACATGTAGGTGGGACAGTCCGCCTGGACCTACAGGATTTGATTTCAGTGCATCAGGGTGTGCCCATAATGATCTGTAATAAGTAGCCGGGGAGAAGGATTTTGTACAAAAAAATGATCTTTGTATCCATGTAAAACCATCAGCATCTACTGCATGTGGATCAGCTTTGAATTCTATGAGCAGCTTTACTAAATTTTGACAGTTTTTCGACAACGAATTGTACATTGTATTTTGGAGGGGTGTCAGACCAACTTTTATAGTATCCGTGTATTCCTGGTAGAAATATGTCTTCAAAAAATCTCGAATGTAAGGTTGCAAAGGTGTGTCAGGATTGATACCATCAGCTAAAAACTTGTTTACTGCTTTAATGTTTGCAGCTGCACAAGCTATGTGGAAATGGGATACATTGTTGTTGTCTATTGGATTAGCTGATTTTTTTGCATGAGCATCTAACATTACTTTGATGCAATCTTTCTTTTTCATTTGAAAAGCCAAATGGAGGGCCGTCATGTTATTAGCATTTTTAATTGTGACGTCTGCTCCAAACTTCAAACATAATTTGACCTTGCTGTTATTACTATCTCGTGACAAAACAACAGCCAGATGCAATAACGTATAGCCCGGCCATATGGGTGAGTTTGGTGGAAGTGCGGTGTTAACATCGATGATTTTTAAATAATCACGCAATGTATTGGCTGATTTGAATGCACGCAAGATTTCGACCAAGCTGGCACCATTCTGAAATCGAACAGTATCCATGGTACTGTAATTCTTCAAAATGCAGCTTATGTCACTGGGCTCGTATATATTGAGACACAAATCTAAAGGGGTCATTTCCTTTGCGTCCTTACACATGAGATCTGCACCATATTTCAAAAGCAACATCACCATTCGCGTACTGCAGTCAACAGCAAAGTGCAATGCAGTGTAGCCTGACCAAATGGGCGCATCAAAGTTCACAGCAGCATTTACATCCACATTGCCTTTTAACAATTCCTCTAGATCATCCAGTGTATCAGCGTTTTGTCTTTTTATGCACTCTATGTGCAATTGAGTCAAGCCCATATGATCCAAGGGGTTGAAATTGTCTGTACTGGGTTTTGATATTAGGTCTAGTATGCCCTCATTTTTCACTGTTTTGTTTTTACGCTGTTTGCCAATCTTCAGAAGCAAATCTTCATTACAAGACTTGTCACTGAGACAATGTAATGGACTCATACCATTAGAATCCAAACAGTTGTAATCTGCGCCGTATTCTAAAAGCAAGTGAACCATGTCTTTGTCTCGATTTCTTATGGCAATGTGCAAAGGTGAGTAGCCAGGTAAAATTTTTGAACTGTTATAGATAGCTTCATTGGCTGAAACTCCAGCTTCTAAATAAAATTTTGCAACCTTCAGATTACTTACAGTACAAGCTATGTGGAAATGAGATATGCCATTGTTGCAGTACGGATTTACTGTATTGTTATACTCAAGATGAGCAAGTAGTAATCGGTTGATCATAGACATGTAGTCTGATACAAAGACCTTATAAAAACCGTGTTTTTCGAGTTTCCCAAAAATTAAGCGCAATGGAGTGAGGCCATCATGATTTTTGTGGTTGAAATCGGCACCTCTTTTTAGTAAAACTTCTATATATTTTTCACCAAAACGGTTCTTAGCAGCAAAGTGTAAAGCAGTACAGCCTCGCAGCTTTTGTTTGGTTTTGTAATACTGAGTTTGCTCATCAACTGGCATTGCAAAATTAACATCAAAATCACTGTTTAGAATGGCTAGGACTTTATTTGTCGAATCGCTCGAACTTATGTACTGAAACGCTTGTGACAATTTAAGTAAATTTTTGTCTACAGATGCCATTTTTATCATAACAGATGCACATGAGTAGTACCTAATAAGAATTTTACAACCTAAAAAAATGATACAGTTAACATGGTCAAATACTAGTATTGATTTAAAAATATTTGACGGAAAAAGTGTTTTATTTTTACAATGATATAGTCAAAAGAAAAACGTTTCAAGAGTTAAGACAAAAGTAAGGACGAAAATATAAAAACAAACGGAAGAAACTGATTCATACTCACGATACTCACGATAAAAAAGCTTTAGTGCGTAAGTATTCTACAATAATCTGGTTAGAAACATTTTTTCTACATTTTTGTTTGCAGTGTCTAACATTGGTTATTTAAGGTTATAACTACATACAGGCGCTACAATTGACAATTGACTACTTAAACTGCGAAGGTGGTCGAAAATCTAAACCAGCCACAACATTAATCAGATTAACACATTCTATGATTCGCGCAGATCCGAAATATTTTTGTCGTATTTGATTTTGGGTAAGAGTAAGTATTATAAAAACTTATGAATCAGATAGGTCTTCGTGATATGCGTAAATTGAATGGCTAAATTATGCACACGTGTATTAGACGTGTCAAACATATTGTATGTACAATACACGTATAAATGAAAAATATTTTTTACATGCAATTACTTATAATTTAAAATTTATTTATGTACAGACAGAAAGGGGCCCCTATAGACTCCTAGACAGTCCGTCAATAAGTATTGAGTTATTGGAAAAAGTACTGACGTTCGTGTTTATGTTCTTTCGTTTTTACACATCATTATCTAACGGTCAACACAGCTTATAAGTGCATGCATAACGTATAAAGAACAGCACAGCACATACCTGCCATAACTACGCAAAATAGACCTTGTGTAAATATACCCATGAAACCTATCAAATATGTTGAAGTTAAGCGAAAGGAAACAAATATTTGATAAATTATGGTAAGAAAAATATTACGAATAAAAAAAAAAAAAAAAAAAAAAAAAAAAAAAAAAAAAAGAAAGAAAAAAGTGTTACGTAATTTATACATTTATGTAATCGACATTTAAGGATAATGTTGCACCTATTATTACTATTATAGAGAAAGCACAGTATTTACAAATTCGTTGAGTATTATTTATTATTTGTTTATTTAAGTAACGACAATTTAAATCTTATTGCGCATTTTTACATAATTTAAAAAAAGACTTACTCCAGACAATAACTATTTTTTTCTATTTTTGAGATTTTTATATCCTAGATTTGCTACTCTGATACACAGAGGACAACTTGTGGGTACACGAATGACTCAGTTTCAAAGTGTAGGAAAAAAAAGAACGTCTCGAATATAGTTACAAACAGTAAACAGTAAACAAATGCTTTAATTAATTTGTTTTTTAATGATTGAGTACTCTAGCCTTGTACTTAAATCATCATTATTTATTAATAGCAGGTAACGAGCGAATTTTAAACACAAATGCTGATTTGTTCTGTGGAACGTAGGCCTATAGAATAATTTTAAATAATAAAATTTTAATCGTTGTAACAAAATCCCAAAAATTACTCGTAGAATCACGACGTACATATTACAATAATTTCATAGCACTGCGGGGTACATCCATAACGACGAGTTTTATGGGGTCGTAAGTAGTCCCCGTTTATGAGTTCTACGTGTAAAAAAAAGAACTGGATTTCGCGTGACAGTTAATAATACTTTTGCGTAAATCTCTTCTTTGGATGAAAAAAGCCTCATACGTGGTTGAGCGTCTTGTACTGCCCAAATACATGAAATTCAATACGAGAAACACGTTGTTTCATTGTACTAAATTTTTACAACCAATCATTATAAATTTGGTAAATTGCACCACAGTATATATGTATGTAGCATTGGTAAGAACACACACAACGGCGTTATTTGCTATAAAGTTGTAATAAAGTTTCGCGGGGAAAATGAATTTACAGCTGTTCATTTTACACGTAACGGAATAACGAACGAACGAACAGAAATGGAAGCTTATACATAATATTATATACTACGAGGGATCAGGAAATTCGGCGCTTAATAAGCTCGCAAAAAGTACTCGGAGAAAAAAGAAGTATAATGAAACACAGAAGAGACATTTTTCATTTTCCAATTCGTCTTATTCACGCGTAAAGTTTGAAATATCTGCAAAAAAAAAAAAAAAAAAAATTTAAGATTTTTATTCAAAACGTATAAGTACGAGTATTTAATCAGGAAAAACAACTGGGGCTATACACCCGAAAAAAAAAAAAAACCTTAGATTTATTCAGCATGAAAAAACAGTTCCATGACTTTGTACGAGTACGTCCTTCATACACATGCGAGCCAAGACTACGATAAATCTTATCGTCGTGTAAGCCCGGAAACCCTGTTCAGTCCACTCCCCTATACCAAAAGAAAAAAAGTGGGAGGGTCAGACACAAAAATCGCATCATTCAAAACGGAAAGAAAGAATTTCTCGAAAAGATTTCATTTCCACAGTTGGGCTGTCAGAGTCGCACATTTTGACGATCCTCGAATATATATATATATCCTCGGGTGCGATTATGCGTTATCGAACACGTGGATTTTCACCGGAGCACATGCGAGCGGAGGTAAAGAAAAGGGGAGAAATGGCGTTTCGTGTCAAGGTCACAAGTTCCCCCCCCCCCCGGACGTCGAACCACCACTCTCTCGAACATAAAAACGTATACTTTTTTAAAGCTCGCGTCGGCTCTCGATGTTGGACCTTTTGGTTTTTTTTTTTTTTGGCGCCCATCGTAGGGACTTTTCCCATCATTCAATGAATGGTCAAATGAAACTTGGGGGTCGGTTCCCTCGGCGCGAGCCCACCCTCGCTCTTTGACCTTTCACTTCATTCCCTTCGTGGTTTTTCCTCGCCACACGGAGGGGGTGGGATTTTCGTATACAATCGGAGGACAGGGATGCTGTATTAGACTTTTCCTGTACTATTTTTAGACCCTCCCCCCTCGTTTCCATTTAAGCCTCGAACACCTTCGAGCGCTTGAGGCTGCGTGCGGTAAATTTATTACGGAAGTTTTATTACGTCTGCGGGGCAGTGAGGGCGCATCTGTTGAATTCAAATGCTACTTCTTGCCATGCCCGGCATCTCGATCAACTTTTTCATTATTTATACATACATTATCCACTGTTTTCACCGAATTCTCGTATTTGTAGCCATTATCATTGCATTTCTCTTTTAACGATACCTTTTTTTTTTTTTTTTTTTTTTTTTAATATTACCGATAGCTGTCACAAATTTGCGCTCTTCGGGCTGTAAAGAGATTTATATTATACAAGCTAATTGTACCATATTGATATAAAAATTGAAAATTTCGGAACCAATTCGATCTTCCAAAGGTTTAAAGGGCACTATGTGAATAATGTTCAAAGATACCCATACACTTATAGTATAAATGATGACGAACACACCCAACGCACCTCAGATGGGAAAATTCCAGTCGTATGTATCGAAGGAAGGGAGTGAAACAAAATTTGATCGACGATTAGTCAATTACACCAAAAACGTAAATATCCGATGATTAATTGTAAAAAAATTCGATGCAAATAAGGCCGTACCATATACGCACAGCGAAAGATACAAAGCCAAAGGGGCAAGGTACATATATATATATACACACACACAATGTGATGTGATGTGTAGGGGGAAAAAAAGGTGCGGACGGATAGGAAAAGAAGGCTGTGGCCGCGGCATCGCGTGTTCCACGGGTAAGACCGGTTACACACGTACGCGGCCGAGGGGAGGGCGAAAACGAAATCGAAGGATCCAAGAGCGCGAGTCGTCACGGTCAGCGGTGCCAGCGAGGAGAAGGAGAGAGAGAGAGAGAAAAGGAATCGCGAAACTTGAGGCCTGGCGGCACCTGTGTTGTACCACCATGTATGTATACATGTACCCACCCGGGCATCCCTAATGGATGAGGGCGAGCGTAATAAGTACGACTCGTCGAAAAGTGGGACGCGCGTAACACGCGGCGCGAGGACTATAGGTGGGACAACAATCGATACACACACGCGCGCGCCCCGCGTCGCTCGTTTTATCCACGGCTGGGGCAGCGATAGGTATTTTTCAATTCAAAGGCACGCGGAAAGAGGAACAAATACGACAGGATCGATCGGACGGTAGATGCGTGTGTATGTATATATGCACAAGTTCAGGAGCGTCGCGTTGCTCCGGTGGTCGGCCTCGCGTGGACGAGTTTTCTTGGCTCGGGCGAGCCGTGTTCCATCGGTTATCGTGTTATTGGGGCTTTCGGATATTTCGACGAGTGGAATATCACCTGCAGTTCCCTCTGGAATTTTTACCGCTGGTGTTGGGTGAAAATTGCGAGCTGGGGTTTTTTTTTTTTTTTTTTTTGCCTTTTGTATCGGTACATGAGCGCCGTTTGTCACTCGCAGCGTGGCATTTAAATGCGTTTTTCAAAAATGGTCCTGAAAGGCACCCAATGAAAAAAAAAAAAAAAAAATGTCGACAACAACAAAACCAACAGTCAAACGAAAACCATGAATCTTTATCAGCGAAGCAATAAAGAAGGACAAAAAAGGCACACGCGTGGCTAGTAATAAATCAACCCTCCACGACACGGGGGCATGGATGTGCGGGTCAGCAGCAGGTTTTCCTTTTCCACGCGACTATTTTTCTTCACCTCAATTGGCTGAAGTAAGCGATGGTGAGAACACCGACGAATAAGCAGGAAAAGACCGCGAACGCAGTCGATCGGATGCACAAGTGGTACAGCGAGTCGCGCATCATCTGCCAGGAGTATTGCGATCTCGCGGCTGTCCCTCTCGACTCGGACTCCATGTCGAACGTCACGTGGGACTTGCCGTTGGACCCAACTGAAACGAAGCGGTTCGGAAGGTGAGCTCGTTCGTTATATATGATTATTGGGATCAAAGGGAGCGTGACTCTTTGTATTCTGATTCTCCTGTATATTTGAGGAGATCGACCGCTCAGTACAAAGAAATCAGATTTGGGTTGAAAAAATAGCTAATGCATACATTTTTGTTCCCCTATATTTCATCGTAACAACTTGCAA